CCCGTGGCAAAGACAAATTCAGTAAAGTAGATTGTCTCACATGCAATTCTAGCAGCAGGAAGAGAACCCCAGCTTTTAGCTGTCACAGAGGGAGGAATAAGAGCTTCCACATCCAGCTTCAATACCCCAGCACCTGCAGAAAGCTCTCATTAAATTTTTCTAGGATTTGGCTTGGGCTTTTCTGAACTCAGTCTTAGCCAGGTTTATCACCAAACCTGCCTCCCAAAGTTGTTCAAAGAATTCTGATAGATGCTCCAAATGTTCTTTCCATGCGTGACATAAAATCACCAGATCGTCAATGTACACACACAATAACATTATCCCAAAATGACTTTATTAGGTAGTCTTTGAAACGTGGCGTGTGCATTTTTCATACCAAATAGCATGATTTAAACTGGTGTAGTCCGCTCAGTGTCACAAACGTCAAAATTTCCTTTGTTCTTTCAGATAAAGGTCCCTGCCAGTATCTACTGAGTAAGTCCAAATTTGAAAAGTTAAGCTGTTTGTCCCACCTTCTCAATGCTGTCTTCCAAATATAGAATAGGATATGAATCAGATTTTGTAACTACATTGACTTTGCAATAGTCCAACATAATCATCTGGTTTTGGGACCATTACTATGTGTGAGCCCCATTTACTGCAACTCACTTCAAATATATTGTCTTTAAGCATGCGTTCAATCTCTTTTTGAACCTGTGACAACTTCAGAAGGTTAAGTCCATAAGGATTTTGCTTAATTGGAATGGCATTTCCAACATTATGCATAATTAGATTAGTACTTCTCAGCTCATTCCTACATATTTCCTCATGTGACTGTAATAACTCTTTCCAGTCATTTTGATTTTCCTTTGGAAGGTAACTCAATAATTTATCCCAATTTTTGAGAACTTCCACATTGTCCAATTTAATCTGAGAAATTTCCAATTCAGAATCTTCTGAACTTGGTCCTTCACTCTGTGTTGTAACCAGTTACACATTATCCTTTTGCTTTCCTTCCCTATCAAAATACCTTTTCAGCACATTCACATGACACATTCTGTGAGATTTCTTTCTATCTGGCGTTCTTATAAAATAATTTACCTAACTTAATTTCCTTTTGATTTGATAAGACCCACTAAACCTTGCCTTTAAATGTTCACCTACCACTGGGAGTGACACTAACGCTTTAACTCCATTAGAAAAATTTCTGATTTCTTGTCTGCTCCCTGTTTCATCACATGCTGTGCTACTTTCAATTTCTGTCTAGCCAACTCACCTGCTCTATTTAATCTTTCCCTAAAATTTCCAAATATGTGGTCTATGAACTTTAACTCTCCTTAATTAATTTCAGTGGCCCTCTCATCTCATGCCCCAAAACTAATTCAAATGGAGTGAATTTAGTTGATTCATTAGGTGCATCCCAAATTCCTTTATCCCAATCCTCTGGATAGTCTTGGCTACAAGCCCTCAACATGGTCTTTAAAGTTTGATGCTACATTTTTAATGCTCCCTGCAATTCTGGATGGTACACAATGAATTTGAATTGTTTAATTCCCAAATTATCCATAAGTCCCTTGAATAATTTTGATGTATAGTTTGACCCTTGATCCAATTGTATTTCTGTAATTGTCCATAACTAGTAAAAATCCTTTTTAGCCATGATACTGCATAATGGAATTGCCTCTGGAAATATAGTAGACACATCCATGATTGTCAACAAAACTGATTCCCACTTTTTGTTCTAGGAAGGGGTCCTACGCAATCAATTAAAATCCTTGGAAGGTTGCTTAAATGCAGGAATGGGTATTATAGTTTTATCACTGCCTCAGGTTTTCCAATTACCTGACACATATGACATGCCTGGCAAAATTTAACCACATTCTTATGTGGTACAGGCCAGTAAAAATGTTTTTATACTTTGGCTTGAGTTTTCCTTGCTCCTAAATGACTCCTGACTGGTAATTCATGCGCTACCTGCAACACCTCCTTTCCATAAACCACTGCTGATACAACCTGATGAACTTCTGCTCGTGTCTCATCTGCCTGAATAGGTGATGGTCTCTATTTTCTCACCAAGACTTCATTTTTAAGATACTAACATTTGGGAATGCACTCAGATTCTTCTTCTGTGTATGCTTTTGGATAAAACTGCTTTAGTTTTTCTTCTTTCTGTTGTAATTCAGCTAATTTCTCTGAACTAAAAATACCCACTTTGTCCTCCACCTGTTCTTGTTTTTTTCTCAACCACTTGATCAAACATGGTGTCTGATAATTGAACTTCAACTTATGTATCTTTATTCTTTGATTTCTCCTCCTGTTTCCACCTGTGGCTTTGTGACCTTGTTATCACACAGCCAGGAAAAATCCCAGGATATACTTTCTATAACACCTCAGTTTCCTGATTTTCCACTGGCTTTTCAACCACAGTAGTCATCACTCCCATCTGTGATCCAGCTAGATCATTACCAAAGATAAACTGTATTTCTGGAGCTGAGAATTCCCCTATTACTCCTACCACCAGTTCACCACTTTTCACCAGACTCTCCAATCTCACTTTATACAATGGAACTCTGCTCTTCTCACCATGAATACCACATATTACCACTTTTTCCTGGAAACACTCCTTCTGAATTATATGTCTTCTCATCTCTCACCATCAAAGATTGAGCTGGTCCCATATCTCTTAAAATCTTAATCTCTTTACCTGCACTTCCTGGCATACATGTGTAAACTTTATCCTTGCAAGTAAATTTTTTTAAAACAGATCTGACACTGCCTTCTCAACCAACCCTGATCACGTTGTACATTCTTTTGCAGCTTTTTAGCTTTCACTGTGCTTCCCGTTAACACTTCGACAAACCTCATTGGATTATCACACATCCTTCTTCCTAGTTCATTTTCTAAACCAACAACACTGTGACTTCATGTGGCCTACTTTATTGCAGTGAAAACACCTGAGCTTTGTTATTTCTCTTTCCCCTCTCACTGGTTTCCTTTCTACCCTGTGATAAACTATCTTCAATGAGATCTCCTTTTCCCTCACCACCTGATTATTTCTGTTTTCCCCAATTTCTAACCCTAACAGATGGAAATTGATGTCAGAAGCCAAACTTCGATTTATGAACCAACTCAAAATCATCTGCCTTTTCTGCTGCTAATCTTGCAGTTTTAACTCTCTGCTCTTCCACATGAATTCTCATCACTTCAGGAAATGAATTTTTGAACTCCTCCAAAATAATCGTTTCTCTAAGAGTGTCATATGTTTAATTTATTTTCAATGTCCTTATCCACCCATCAAAATTACTTTTATTGATCCTTTCAAACTCAATGTATATTTGGCCAGGGTCCCTCTTTAGATTCCAAGAACATTGCCTGTAGGCTTCTGGCACAAGCTCATATGCACATAAGTGGCTTCTTTCACCTGCTCATATTCCCTGATACCTTCTCTGATAGTGATGCAAATCCTCCACTAGCTCCACCTCCCAATTTTGTTTGGATCAACAATACCCACATGGTCTCTGGCCGCTCTTTTTGTTTAGCCACTTGCTCAAATGAAATGAAAAAGACTTCGCTGTCCTTCTTGTCAAACTTAGGAAAGGTTTGGACATATTTAAACAGATCCCCACCAGGTCTTTGGCAACGATGGGACTGCTCCCCATCTCTGTCCTCATCACTACTCCTTCCTTTCACCTCTACCTCCACCATTTTAAGACAACTTTGAGTTTTCAGTTCCAACTGAAGTTCAAACACTCTCTCTTTCTCCCTTTTTTCTGTTAGGGTCATCCTTTCTTTTTCCTTCTCCTCTGCTTTAACTCGTAGTTCAGACTGTGTCATTTCCTTCTCTCTTTCTTTCCTTTCCTGCCAGGGCTATTCTTTCTTTTCCTTTTACCCCTCAAATTCCAGCTGCTTCATTTGCAATTGAATTTTAGCAAACTCCAATGATTCTGATTGCATTCCTGGCAATTGAAAATGTAGAGCTACTGCTGCAATTATTTCCCCTTTCCTCACAGACACAGACAACTCCAACTCCAACCTGTTCACCAAATCCAAAAGTTTATAAAAGAATAGAATGGAATAGAATAGAATGGAATAGAATAGAATAGAATAGAATGGCCTTTATTGTCACGGGTGCACAATGACTGCAGTGAAAAGTTTGTAATGTTGCCCCTTTAGTGCCATCTTAGGTACAGGGTACACAGGTACGGATATTTTAAGTGTTTGTTACAGAATTGAAACAGTCAAAAAAAGTCTAGCATATGAATACAGAGTTTTCAAAAGTACATGAGTTGTTCAAAGTCCGGAATAAGGATAAAAGTATCTTTAAAAGTACTCAAGTTATAGTCCTTTTCACTAAATCTGTGCCCTCGGGGCTTCAGAACACGAGGCTTCGCTGCTCCCAAGGCACTGGCCTCCAGCAGTAGCTCTATTGAAATGCTTAAGAAAATAATGTATTAATTACTTACTAGTAATTAACTGTTCCAATATAGTAACATCCCATAAACACACCCTTGGCGAAGGCAAGTTCAGTAAAATAGATTGTCCCACACGTAATTTTAGCTGCAGGAAGAGAATCCCAGCTTTTAGCTGTAACAGAGAGAGGAATAAGAGCCTCCACATCCAGCTTCAATACCCCAGCACCTGCAGAAAGCTAAAACTAAAAATCCTGGTTCTGTGGGAGCTCAACCCCACCCATTCAGTTGCTCTATTGTTCCAACTTTAAAAAAAACCCAAGGCCTCACAAGCTGTTTACTATATTGGCTTTGAACAAACTGCTCATCACCTCTGTCTCAACCCTTCTTCATTCAAGAAAACCAGGACAAAATGCACCCCTTAAAGTCATAGCATCACACAATGGTTGGGTTAGGAGGTGTATGTCTGTAATGTGTAATTCTGCAAATAAACATAGTGTGTACAGATTTTTCCAGTTCTGTCCTTCACCAACTGGCTTTCTGGAGTAGAATCACACCCACAGTGTAGTGCGAGAAATAATTCTAGGGTTTTGATTCAGGAATAATGCGGGAATGTCGATGCAGCTCCAAGTCTGGTTTGTGAGTAACTTTGGTAAGTACTCAGGAAACAGAATCTATAGAAACCCTCAGATGCAACAAGTTGAGAGAATGAGTGAAAAAAAAGTGTACATCGAAAGGAACAAACATCAATATCAAAAGAAAAATTGATATTTACATGTTCTTTTCTGAATCCCTTTTGCCTATTCCAGACTGCCTCAGTATCCAACTCCACACTTTATTCTATCTTTTTGTTTTGCTTTAACTGAAAACAATTGTCTCAAATGCTATGATGAATATTTTTATTTGCAATATTGTGTCACGATTTTAAGGCATCCCAAAATCCCAAACCCAGCTGTTGAAAACCAACAATAATTGACAATAAAAATCTCTGTTCTCCAAATGTGATGATTGTTCTCACACCATTCAACATATAAACACCTTCCCCTCCATGGACGGGTGCACTAAAGGAAGAAAAATTTGCATTTCAATCATTCTTCTCGTAAACCTCAGGACATCTCAAAGTGCTTTACAACAACTTTTGTACTTTTGAAGTGTAGCCACTAATGCAATATAGGAAAATTGTCAGGTTTTCTGTGCAGAATAACCTTCCACAAATGGTAATGGGTGGGCAAGTCTTGGACCAAAGGGTATAATCTTAGAATATGGGATAACCATTTTAACGCGGAGATGAGGAGGTATTTCTTCTCTGAGGGTAGTGAAGCTGTCGAATTCTTTACCGTAGAGTACTCTCTAGGCTGGATCGTTCAGTATATTCAAGGCTGAGAGAGACAGATTTTTAATCAGGAAGGGGAGTCAAGGGTTATGGGGAAAAGGCAGGGAAGTGAAGTTGAGGATTATGATATCAGCCATGAACTCATTGAATGGCAGAACAGGCTCGAAGGGGTGAATGGCTTACTTCTGCTCCTATGTCTTCTGGTCAGAATAGTTGGTCTGCTTGCTTGTGTTTCAGATCAGACATCTCCCTGGGGCAGTGTGACCAAGACTAGGGGCTATGTCTGAACATGGACTCAAGCACATGAGTTTTTCATCTGAATTTAACTGTACATATTTTGTCACAGTCAGGCTCGTTATTCAATCGCACACTGAGAAAATAATTCCATCTGCTGTTTACCGCATTAGATAAAAAAGACTTTCTGAATCAGAGCCACAGACATCATAAAGTGAAGTTGAGTACCTGCAATGGCTGATGTTCTCGCCTTAATGAAATAGCTGTTGTACAAAATTAAGTGCCATCTTACACCATGTCATTAAATCTCAAAACAAAACAAGAAAGGCACATTGTGCAAGTTCAGACAGGAGCTTTATCGACAGAGAATAGCATTGAAGTAGAGAAAACAATTGTAACACCTAATACATGTCCCCTGGTAAAGATTATTGGGCTGAAGGGCCTCTTCTGAGCTGTGTGACTCTCAATATAAGTGTCATATTCAAATCAGACCTTCCTGGTGATAATACAATTTGCTCCATTCCCTGGTCTGTGTTGAATTTGGGTGGTTTCAGATGTACGGCTCTCAATCTCTCTGGGTTAAAGAAGGAGGAAAAGTTAGCAATGGTTCGCATGCTGACCACCATTCACTGACTGTAGCTGCATTTGTGGATTATTTGTGGATCAAATGACGGGTGAGTGAAAATGATAGGGTTCAGCTAGATTTAGAGCAAGTGAAGGGAGTTTTCAATGTGTGAAATTCTTGCCCATGCTTCCTGTGTTTTGTGCGACAATATATTCCAAATCCCTCATGACCTCACCCGTCCATATTGCTGTATACCCCTGCAGCCCCACAACTCTCTAAGATCTCAGAGTGTCTCCTATTCCAGTTTTTTTTTTACACATCTCCCCTTTTCAATTCTTCCACTATTGGTCGAAATACCTGTACCTTAACCTCTAGAATTCACTTCCAAGAACTTTTCCACCTCTCAATGCCTTTCAGATGCTGACATGATGATAAATCCTGAATTACTGATGAACATATTGAACATTTAAGTGCAACATGTGTTTTTGAAAAGAAAGACATTGCAACCAAAAGATGGTTGACAATTTATATTGAATAGCTGTCCAGTCATCGCTGTGAGAATTAGACTGAATCCTGATAGCGTATTCTGGGAATGTTGTGCTTAAAGTTAGACAAGGAAACTTCAGACTGTAACACTTCAAAAGGAGAGATGCCATTCAAGAAACAGTGTTCATCTGTAGTTACAGAGATAGTAAATGGCTGATTACCACCACTAAGCAGAAAATCATCTCCTGCGTGATGTGTCCCAGTCATCAGGCACGATAAAAGGTGAAACAAATGTAGTTCTGAGTGAAGGACATGTTTGTATTTTACTCTTCCAGGAATGCACAAGAAAGAGATTAAACAACAATTACATTCTCAGATCTCTGTCTGCTCTCATCTGCCTGAGTACTAAAGTGGAAGTGTGCTAGCTTGGGATTCGAGATCCTCCATATTAACTTGTACTGTGAAGGGACACAGCTGAGAATATCTTTTAGACACTCCTGCTGTGTTGATGTTGTTGAAAACAAGTCGAGTCAGCAAAGTCACTATTGAAGAAAACTGGATAAACTCCTTTCAGCTAATGGCAGAACCAAGAAGCAACTACTGAACTGCCAACATCAATGTTACTAAAATTACCCACCTTGGGGCTTTAGCATTTCATAATCTATTCACAGACAAACCAAAGGCAGATTTGTTACTTTATTTCTTTGTGTCTTTTAATTTTTGGACTCGCCTCTTATTTTTAATCTCTGTGAATGTGTGTGGCATTTGTCATTTTTGTTCATATTTTCATAGCTAATAACCTCACATATTCTTTAACTCAATAAGGCCTGCTTAAACTAGCTCCTTTTAAACATTAATATATTTGTGCTGGGGGAAGGTGTCCATGGAGGGAGGGATCTTTTCTAAATTAACCATTTTGCAACCAGCCAGGGGAGGGACTGAATAAAAACAGTAGTTGATGGAAAAGCTTAGCAGGTGAAGAAAAGATCAGAGGAAGGGTCACCGGACCCGAAACATTAACTCTGAATTTTTTCTTCATAGATGCTGCTCGACCTGCTGAGCTTTTCCAGCAACTTCTGTTTTTGTTTCTGATTTACAGCATCCACAGTGCTTTCAGTGAGGGACTGAATAATGAAGGGGAGCCAGTTTATCCTTCCTTAGCCAGGAGCTTAGCCATATGGGAGCATGTCATCCAGAATGGTAACAAATAGAGAGGCAGATCATAGCAATGCTCCATTTGGCCAAATGTCTAGTTGCCTCTCCTTCCATTGTTCAGCGTTAGATTTTTTGTAATGATCGCTATTGATAAGCTGCCTTCGAATGTTTTCCTTGATTAAAGCTGCTGTATGAACAGAAGCTATTGTTAGCCCTGCTGTTACTAACATTTTCCAGTGTGAGCCCATGGATTAGATGCTTTGGATTCACAGTAACCTCAATCTAGCCTCCTCCTCTCATGTCAAAAATCTGAGTTTTGAAGATTAATAAATGTGCAATCATTCTTCAATATTTGACACGCACACACAAGTTGCAAAATGACTCAAGAAGCCTTGATGGAATCTTCCATAAACAACAACCCTATTGGGTCAGTGCATTGAGTGTAAAAGTTGGGATGTCATGTTGTGGCTATACAGGACATTGGTGAGACCACTTTTAGAATATTGTGTTCAGTTCTGGTCTCCCTGCTATACGAAGGATGTTGTGAAATTTGAAAGGTTTTAGAAAAGATTTACAATGATGTCACCAAGGTTGGAAGGTTTGTGCTGTAGGGAGGGCCTATTTTCCCTGGAGTATCAGAGGCTTAGGGGTGACCTTATAGAGGTTTATAAAATCATGAGGGGCATGGATAGGGTAAATAGTCAAAGTCTTTTCCCTGGCGTAGGGGAGTCCAGAACTAGAAGGCATAGGTTTAAGGTGAGAGGGGAAAGATTTAAAAGGGGCAACTTTTTTACGCAGAGGGTGATGCATGTATGGAAGGAGATGCCAGAGGAAGTGTTGAAGGCTGGTATGATTACAACATTTAAAAGGCATCTAAGTGGGTATTATGAATAGGACGAGTTTAGAGGGATATGGGCCAAATCCTGGCAAATAGGCCTAGATTAATTTAGGATATCTGGTCAGCATGGATGTGTTGGACCAAAGGGTCTGTTTCTGTGCTGTATATCTCCATGATTCTATGACTCTAAAAAGTATGTAGATGTTCCTTTTCAGAAAAGAACAGTTGAAGTAGTAATCAATTTCACTTTTTTTTGCAAGTATAGATTTAGCATAAGTGGAGAGATGTTAGATGTTAGAACAAGGGGATGCTGAGGAATGGGGACATGAGTTAAGGACACTGATAAGCCAGTCATTACTAGACAATGCAGACTCCTGATGAGTGGAATCAGTGGCCAGGTCGTTGATGCATTACACTGACAGTCTGGTCACCGCAGTTTGCAAAAAGTCACTAACGTTTCTTTCTCTGTGTGTAAATGAGTCTCCCTTTTGTTTGTCTTCCTTATTTGGAATCAATATTCATTAAGAGAAATAGCTTAAACATGCACAATGCCGCTGACGTGAGATAGCTACTCATCCTGACCATTCTCAACAAGAAATTCACATCTGAGCTCTAAGCAGGGCCATTAATTTACCGGCACCATGAAACAAAAGTTGAAGATCCTTGCAAATTATAATTGATGTCAGTTTGTAAATGCAGGCCCACTTGGAATGCATTGTGAAACACAAAAATTAAAGGCAATCCCCCTCTCTCATCACTTAGCTGGACTGTAACACGTGGGGAATCGATTTTCTTATTGTGAGCTGTCAGGCCTGCACCAGAGAATGAGTTTTAATTCTGTGCTGTTATTAAAGTGCTTGTTTAACAGCCAAAGGAATGGAACCATCGTCTGGGTGCAGCAGGAGCTGTTGTGCCACTGAATGGTATCTGTCACATGATGATAAATGACCCTCAGAACTCCCAAATCCCCTGCTCTGTCACTCAGGTAAGAATCATTAATCTTCATTTTGGACAGGCCGCTTCGAACAGCCTTGATTGCAA